ACAGAGATCCACCTGCCTCTGCCTCCCGAGTGCTGGGATTAAAGGTGTGCGCCACCACCGCCTGGCGGGATTGAGTCTTGATGTAGGAGGGCCCAGCTCCCTGTGGCAGCTGTCCTGGGTTGATAAGAAAGCAGGCTGAGCAAGCCAAGGGGAGCAAACCAGTAAGCAGCACTCCTCCACGGCCCCTGCTACAGTTCCTGCTGTGAGTTCCTGGCCTCCCTTGCCCTCATGAGACACTGCAACTGTGAGCTGAAACAAACCCTTTCTTCTCCAAGTTCCTTCTGAAGGTCATGATGTCTGTCTCAGCAATGGAAGGCAAACCAGACCAGATTTGTACCAGGTTCTTGGGGTATTGCTGTGACAGACATGACTATATGTTTGGGGGAGAATTCTAGGAGTTTGGAACTCTGGGATGAAAGGAAATGTTTTGAGTGCTCAGAACGTAACAAGCTATGGTAGGAGCCTGGCAGATAAGAATGTTGAAAGAGACGCAAACAATGGAGGCCTGCCTTGTCTCAGAGTGAAGCAAAGATTATGAGGGCTGTTATGTGATGTTTTGAATTATGGATATGTAGTTTCTGGCCAGCTGGGATTGAAGAATCAAATCAGCTTTGACCAACAAGAGACCAGCGCCACTGAGGCAAAATCTTCTGGGAAGTTTCTTCAGAGTCGGCACACAGAAGCTGTGGTCCAGGAGGACCAACGCCGCATCTCAAGCTGGCAGCCGAACTTGTAAATGTATAAAAGTCACCCAGGCAACACTGGTTTTGAAGGCATGAAGGGGTCATGGAAAGCAGCTGAGGCTTGGTGCTGTGTGACAGGGCCAGAGTCCCAAAAGAGGTGCCAGGAGTGGTTATTGGTGAAGGTGCAGCCTCAGTTACAGCAGAGAAACCAGGATATTGTAGATATCAGTTCCTGGGATGACTCCCAGGAAAAGAGCTGCTGTGGAGTAGAATTGGCCTGAGCCTATGAAACTAGCTGTGTTTGCTATGAAGGGCAGAGGAGTGGAGCTGCCCAAGCCCTTTGGAGCCCAGAAGATTGTGAATCCCAGACACTGGCCACTGGGTTTGCTTGTTTGTTTGTGTTTGTTTGTTTGTTTGTTGGGGTGGGGGGGTTCTTTGATTGTAACTGTGCCCTGGCTCTTTCCTCTTGGAATAGAAAGTATATAAAATTTCCTGCTTCACTGAGAAGTCTGCCAGATAGTATGAACCTGTAAGCTGAAGATGGATGCCCCAAGGTTGTGGAAGGTCACTTTGGGTGACTGTCCAGGCAGTCAGATGTTTCTGTCATTGTTGGAGTTTTGGAAGTTGTTTGCAATGCACTTTTTGTTTATTCAATAATATTATCCTTCTGGGTCTTTGATGGAGTTGAAGACTAGGTAGTTATAGTTGCAGTTTTCCTTAGTTATGACAGATAGTAAATATGGTCTAAAACTTTAGATTCATTAAGATATGATAGATAATGGAGTATTTTCTTTTAATTTGCCAGACACAAATGAACTGGAATTCATTACATTGTGAATGTAACCTTTACTTGATAATTGTTCTTATTGTGTACAGTCTTATTATGTTAAAGTTAAAACCTTTCTTTCTTTCTTTTTTTTAGACAAAAAGGGGAAATGTTGGGGAAATATTATTTTAAGGTGTGTTTAAAAAAGAAGAAAGTATGTAATTGACTTTTTTTTTTTTTTTGGTTTTTCGAGACAGGGTTTCTCTGTGTAGCTTTGCGCCTTTTCCTGGAACTCACTTGGTAGCCCAGGCTGGCCTCGAACTCACAGAGATCCGCCTGGCTCTGCCTCCCGAGTGCTGGGATTAAAGGCGTGCGCCACCACCGCCCGGCGTAATTGACTTTTTATAGGAGCCATAGTTAAGAGACTGGATATTTTAAAGAGACAATTTTAAAGACTGTGGTATTTTACAGTTATATCAGGTTTTATATTTGATATTAATATTAATATGACATCTTGGGGACAAATGAGAAAGGAAAGGTTATAAGTGAATAGTGATATGTTTGTGTGTCATGCTGACAAGGGGTCAATTGTGTTAGCTAGTTTTTTTTTTGTCAATTTGACACAAGCTAGGGTCATCTGGGAAGTGCGAATCTCAACTGAGAAAATGCCTCCATCACAGTGACCTGTGGGCAGGCAAGTCTGTGGGGCATTTTCTTCATTAATGATTTACCACATCCAGTATGGCTCCAAGGACTGGACCTGACTGGGTTGGATGAGGGGATGGAGAGAAGACAAGTACAGATAGATACAGAGACAGAAAGTTGGGCTCTCTGTTGGAGAAAGTGCAGCACCCCAGAAGCTCAGCGTGAACAGAGAGGCAGGGTTATTGCATACAGCTGGACAAGGAGGTGGAGTTATTGCATACAGATAAGCAAGAAGGCGGAGTTTACAGTATACAGCTGGATCAAGGAGATGGGTTTAGCTAATCTTGATAGGTGCAGTCTCTGTAAGGGAATCTTCAGGCCATAAACATCCAGGGTGGGAGAAAGCTATGGTGGACATTTTCTGCATACACATCAACACATGGACCAGAAGAGGCTTCACCATTTCCTTCTGAGTTCTTGACATGGTCATGCCTATGTCAACAGAATACATTCACTAACACTTCATTCACTCAGGGCTTCCTCTCCTCCCTACAATTTAGTTTGGGAGGGTACAGCCCATTGTGGGTGGTGTCACCCCAGAGTGGATGGTCCTGGATTGTGTAAGAAAGCAGGTTGAGCAGGCTAGTAAGCAGCATTCCTCCATGGTCTCTGCTTCAGTTCCTGCCACTAGGTTTCTGCCTTGAGTTCCTTCTCAGACTACCCTTCATGATGAACTACAACTGTAAAGCTGAAATAAAACTTTTCTTAACCAATAGAGAGCAATATATCACAGCAATAGAGAGCAAACTATTGCATACTGCATGTGTGCCTGTATGTCTGTTTGCATTTATAAGCACATATGTGAGGCTATGCACACACACGTGGATGTCAGAGACTAACGATGGATGTCTTCTTTGATGACTATATTTCTAATTATTTACTTCTTACTTCTAGGATTTCATCTAAACTTTCTGCCAAGGAATTACCTGTCTATGTCACCCCATCACTCCCTGTCTTCACACAGTATCATGAAGTCAGTCTCTCCACTGAGGTCAAGATTGGTCTAGCTTTATCCTAGTACTACCCAATGTGCCTCTTAACCTCAGTGATCCCCTCAGATGACCTCTCAGTTTGGGCAATTGTCTTAGTTAGGGTTTCTATTGCTATGAAGAAACACCATGACCAGGGCAACTCTTACAAAAACAAAAACAAAAACAAAAACAAAAAAACATTTAATTGGGGTGGCTGGCTTACAGTTTCAGAGGTTCAGTCCATTATCATCATGACAGGAAGCATGGTGGCGTGCAGGCAGACATGGTGCTGGAGTAGTAGCTGAGAGTCCTACATCTTATAGGCAACAGGAAGTCAACTGAGACACTGGGCAGTATCCTGAGCATAGGAAACCTCAAAGCCCACCCCCAAAGTGACACACTTCCTCCAACAAGGCCATACCTACTCCAACAAAGCCACACCTCCTAATAGTGCCACTCCCTATGAGACTATGGGGCCAATTACATCCAAACCACCACAGCAATGAATTATCTATCTCCCCTGCTTGGAAAATGACAGAAACCTTGAGCTGTCTCTTATATCTGGGATGGTTTGCTGTGGACGATTGATTGATAAATAAAGTGCTGATTGGCCATTAGCCAGGCAGGAAGTATAGGCAGGACAAGGAGAGAGGAGAATTCCGGGAAGTGCAAGGCTGAGGCAGAGAGACCACCATCATGAGAAGCATAATGTAAGATACTGGTAAGCCACAAGCCATGTGGCAAGGTATAGATGGGTTAATTTAGCCGGGCGGTGGTGGCGCATGCCTTTAATCCCAGCACTCGGGAGGCAGAGCCAGGTGGATCTCTGTGAGTTCCAGGACAGCCTGGTCTACAAAGCGAGTTCCAGGAAAGGCGCAAAGCTACACAGAGAAACCCTGTCTCGAAAAACCAAAAAAAAAAAGAAAGAAATGGGTTAATTTAAGATATAAGAACTAGACAGCAAGAAGCCTGCCACAGCCATACAGTTTATAAGTAATATAAGTCTCTGTGTGTTTGCTTGGGTCCAAGCAGCTGCAGGACTGGCATGTGAGAGAGATTTGTCCTGACCGTGGGCCGGCAGGACCAGGAAAACTTCAGCTACAATGGTTGGTTTTAATATCAGCCTGACCCAAATTAGACTCACGTGAGCAGGAAACCTCAACTGAGGAATTGTCCTTATTACCTTAACATATGTGGGAAGCCCCACTCCAAATGTGGGTGGCACCTTCAAGTACAGGCTCAGATTTAAAAAGGTAATGGCAAGAGGAGGATTATTCAACCTTTGGTAGCTTGGCTTTTCTCCTTCATGGAGTTGATTTCTCCAGTTGCTGCTGCTGCTGCTGCTGCTGCTGATGATGATGATGATGATGATTCCTTCACAGATATCAGAACCAGCACCTCCAGGCTGCCGTCGTCAACTAAGACCAGCAGCTCCCCAAGAACCCTCTAGGGTTGTGATGTCAGACTGAGACAGCCAAGGCAGTCAGCCTCAAGGCGTGAGCAACTATTGGATTTGCAGCCTCCCAGCCTTGAAGCAGTCGATGTTACTATTTCAATATAAACTGGCTTAATAAATTCTTCACATATACGTCTCCACCATATTGGTTCTGTTCCTCTTGAGAACACTAATATACATGATATGCAGCCGCAGTGCCTTGTGCAATGATTTACACTCAGTGGGTGCCTATTAGAAATGTGTAGACTAATCATATGTAGAATATACATGCTTAGGGGCTAGGAGTGTTACTCAGTGGCATGGCGTATGTTTAGCATGCAGAAGGCACTGGGTTCAATTCCCGAGTACACACACAGAATATAACGGCCAGATTCCACCCACAGCCTAGGAGAGGAAGAAAAGAAAGCACACACAGTATCTGTGTTCCACAGTTCATTTATGGAACTGGGGCAGGTGATTTAACAACAGATTATAACATAAGGCTGGGAAAGAACCATTGTTGCTTTCCCTCCCGGGACCCAGTTGTGATAGGGATGCTTCCAAGTTTTCTAAAATAGCCATCTGTTGTTGGGCAAGCTGGGTCTGAAGCTGGAGGTTGGCAGACATACATTCTAGGAGTCCTAGGCATTCCTTCGGCTTCTGGCCAGCTCCTGGGGAGAGTGATGGAGGTACGAAGGGACACAGGAAAGAGGCTTTGTAATTGCAGTGAGGTTGGAAGGAGTCCATAAGAGCACTAATCCTCCTCCCAGGAACAACCCAACCAGACTCACTTCTGCTCAGCAGTCATCTCCCCAGAGGCTTACCTGCCAATTTTGTTTTAATTTTAAACCAATATTGCAACTCGCTTCTCCCCTTGTTACTTTTCTTGTAGTATTTATGGTCATCTGGCACACTCAGTAATAGCTCATGTTTGTCTAAGTTCTCTGCTTGAGTTATGCTCCAGGAAGGCAAGGAATTTTGTCTGGTCTACTTTAGTATCCCCAGCATCTAGAGAAGCCACTGTACATAAGTATACAAAACACATTTAAAAAGCTGGGTGGTGGTGGTGGTGGTGGTGGTGGTGGTGGTGGTGGTGGTGGTGGTGGTGGTGGTGGTGCACACCTTTAATCCCAGCACTCAGGAGGGAGAGGCAGGCAGAGATCTCTGTGAGTTTGAGGCCAGCCTGGTCTACAGAGCAAGTTCCAGGATAGCCAGGGCTACACAGATAAACCCTGTCTCAGAAAGGACAAACAAACAAACAAGGTCTCACTATGTAGGCTTGGCTGGCCTGGAACTTAGTATGTATACCAGGCTGGCCTTCAACTTTTAGACACCCACTTAAATCTTTGAAAATTTTATTTGAGCCAGGTAGGGTGCTGTACATCAGTAATCCTAGTGCTTGGGATGATGAGTCAGGAGGCAAGTGTGAGGGATACACAGTGAGTTCCAGGCTACAGAGCAACTCAAAACAACAACAAAATTTAAAAAATAAATAAATAAATAAATAAAAAACTGAGACAGGGTTGGGGATTTAGCTCAGTGGTAGAGCACTTGCCTAGCAAGCACAAGGCCCTGGGTTTGGTCCTCAGCTCTGAAAAATAAAGAAATAAAGAATAAAAAAACAGCCGGGCGGTGGTGGCGCACGCCTTTAACCCCAGCACTCGGGAGGCAGAGCCAGGCGGATCTCTGTGAGTTCGAGGCCAGCCTGGTCTCCAAAGCGAGTTCCAGGAAAGGCGCAAAGCTACACAGAGAAACCCTGTCTCGAAAAACCAAAAAAAAAAAAAAAAAAAGAATAAAAAAACAAAAACAAAAAACTGAGTCCATGTTGGCCTTGAGCACTCCATGTAGCTGAGGGTAAACTTGAACTCCAAATTCTCCTGCCTCCACATTCCAAGTGCTGGGATTACAAGCATATGGCACTGTACCCAGTTTGTGTGGTTCTGGGCCATGTGCACACCAGGTAAGAACTCTATCAGTTCAGCTATATTCCCAGCCTAAAAAAGGGTTTTGTGCCGGGCGGTGGTGGCGCACGCCTTTAATCCCAGCACTTGGGAGGCAGAGGCAGGCGGATCTTTGTGAGTTCAAGGCCAGCCTGGTCTAGATGAGCGAGATCCAGGAAAGGCGCAAAGCTGCACAGAGAAACCCTGTCTCGAAAAACCAAAAGGGTTTTGTTTTGTGGTTGGTTTTTGTTTGCTTGTTTGTTTTGCGAAGTGGGTAAAAACTAAGTCCCTTTTAGGGACCTGGAGCTCCTCCATTGTCTAACTCCAACCATTCTGGGTGATCAGCTTACTTCTTAAATGTTTTCAACTACATTGTCCATAGGCGGCTTAGTTAACCTCAACAATTATACTGTCTGCATTTGGGAGTAATGGCTATCTAGAGTTGAGTTCCCCATAAGTAATCAACTATCCACTGACTTCCCTAGAAGAAGAAGAATGAGAGAATTCAAGGAAGCTGAGTCCAAGCTAACAGTCACTATCTCCTTCCCTGGGTCCCTTTTAACTCTCAGGAGCAGCAAGCAGAAAGACCGGGGTCTCACCCTGCCCACTTGAGCCAAGTAGCTAACAATTGAGAAAAGAACAGGAATTGGTAAAACTGGGGAAACAAATGAAATCAACAGAACCAAACAATCAACAAGTTACCCCGAAAGTGAAACCAGGCAACGGGTGCTCTGAGGAGTTAGCACTGCCCTGGGGGAAGCTTAAGCTACTTTGCACCTGCTCTCCTGGCTGGGTCTGCTTGGGAAGCCTTCCCCCGAAGACTTACCTGAAGGCAGTTTTGTTGTCTGGATGTTCAAGAAAGTGGCTGGCAGGGAATTTGCTTGAAGATTAATATAACTGGGGGAGGGTTTTGCTGGACAAAGACACACAGCATCATTATCTTCCTCTTTGGCTGAAAATGAGGTGACTAAATGAACATTCATTTTAACAAGGGTTAGCCTGCCTTCTCTTGCCCTCTTTCTCCTCTTTTAATTTTAAGATAATAGCCCAGGCTGGCCTTGACCCCAAGACCCTCCTGCCTTGGCCTCTCAAACATGGGACTGCAGGTGTGAGACTGCCTTTCTGATTAAATCACTGCGCCTGGTCTATAAAAGCAGACACCAGGTCCTACCCAAGTATCAGTAAGATATACAAAGAGAAGATACAGAAAACAGAAGTCAGCCGGGCAGTGGTGGCGCACGTCTTTAATCCCAGCACTTGGGAGGCAGAGGCAGGTGGATCTCTGTGAGTTCAAGGCTAGCCTGGGCTACAGAATGAGTTCTAGGCAAGGCTCCAAAGCTACACAGAGAAACCCTGTCTCTAAATAAATAAATAAAATACAATAACAACAACAACAAAGACATCAGTGAGAGTTAAGAGAACCCAAGCTGGCAGGAGGAAAGTCTAATTCACTTGCTTGATGTGAACTACATGCTTACTCCTCCACTAGACACTGAGAAGTACACAAAAGACACGTACAACAGCTTCTTAGCTGCTCATCACCAACTTAGGGAGACAAATTGAATCAAGTGAAACATTATCTTCAGGCACAGTGGTGCACATCTGTAATTCCAGTATCTAGGAGGTGGAGGCAAGAGGATCAGAAGTTCAAGGTCAACCTCTGCCAAACAACAAGCTCAAGACAAGCCTGGGTTATACAAGACTCTCTCTGGACAACTAAAAGAATCAGGTGAAACAACACAAGGTATAGTGAGTCTTCACACCTGGGTAAACTCGGGAGGCAGAGGCAAGCGATCTCCGTGAGTTCAAGGCCAGCCTGGTCTACAAAGCAAGCTCCAGGACAGCCAGGGCTACCCAGAGAAAGCCTGTCTTGAAAAACAAAAACCAAACCAAACCAAAACAAAACAAAATACCTAGGTAAAAGTGAGGTTTTTATTGGGGTTGTGGGAGAGCATACCCAGCTAAGGCCAAGTGTGTAAACAAATGTGAAAGTAAGGGTTTAAGGGAGCAGTGGGGGGGGATTATAACGAACACCTATTTAAGAAGGGCTCTCTAACAGGCCAAGCATGGCAAATATGGCTGCAAAAGGCTTTGCCTTTTACCCTTCTCTCTTGCTTGCTAAACTGTCAGATTACATTCCTAAAGCTATTCCCTTATTTGGTCACTGACTCATTCCTGAGACTAAAGACTAAGGTTCAGCATTCAAACTTCATTATTTGGCTACACTGGCTAACATGTCCAATCAGGACTTACTAACTCACCTAGGACAGACTTCCCCTTTTCTCCTGAAAAAACAAACAACAAACGAAGGCCTGCTGCTTGCTGTCTGCTTTGGCCCAATGCGGAGACAGCCTCCCCTCACTTGCTTTTCCCTCTGGGGTAATAAATCTCCTTTATGCTAAGAACTTGGTGACTGGGTGTGTTTCCGAGCCAATTCTGAGGGCCCCCCAATCCTTACAGAGGCTCTGAAAACGTGGAAAGCTTGGAAGGAGCAGAGTAGGAAAGGGGATAGCAGAACATGAATGTAGGTCAAAAGGCAAGAATAAGGCTGGAGGGTGAGAAACCCTGGGAAACTGGCCAAGTCAGGACAGGAGGAGGAAGAGCAAGGGAAGGGGGCGCTCATCACTGACATAAAGATGGGCCAGAGAAGCCTGAGTAACCAAATCTGAGATGTTTAAGCTTTCTCTTAACGTAATAGGCCCTCAACCTTTAAGGTTAGAAAGTTGAGTAAACCGAGCTTTTGGCTCACGCCTTTAATCCTAACATCCAGGAGGCAGAGGCCAGCAGGGCTCTCTGAGCACCGGAGCCTTCCCATCACTAAGAATAGGCATATGTCCCAGCCTGGTCTACATATCGAGTTCTAGGCCAGCCAGGACCATAGAGTGGTACCCTGTCTAAAAAAGAATAGGAATTGATTGCTAACAGTTAAAAATCGTATTTCAAGGACTGGAGACACAGCTCAGCAGTTAAGAGAGCATGCTGCTCTTCCAGAGGACCTGAGTTGGGTTCCCAGAACCGCTTCAAGGCAGCTCACAACCACCTGTAATTCCAGCTCCAGGTGATCTACATAGCAAGTTCTAGGCCAGCCAAGGCTACACGGTGAGACCCTGTCTCAAAAAAAAAAAAAAAAAAGATTACATTATCTTTTATCTTTTTCATTATACATATTAAATACAAAGAGTTGCACATGTTAACGTTTTTGTTTTTCTGAGACAGTCTTGCTATGTAACCAAGCTTGGTACTTTCTATGTATCCCATGGTACCTTTGAACTCAGGACAGTCTTCCTGCCTCAGCTTCCCAAGTGCTAGAATTCTAAGAGTGAGCCACAACTGGCTCTAAAAGAGATTCTAAAACTGGTAACTATGCTATCTTTGGCAAAAACAGTCAAATCAAAAGGAAAAACTGACTTGGAGGAAATCCTAATGTTCCACCACAGACATTTGTCCTTCTTATCTACTGAGTAATTGTCACTCTGGGAAATTATTCTTTCCCCAGATCCCAGTTGTACTGGTGAGTCAGCACTCCAGTTTCTTGACACTAAAAATAGGCCCATGGCCCAGCAAAGGACAGTGCCGACACCTCACTCTCTCAGCAACTGCGATGACAAGATGGTAAGCACTTGAAAAGTAGGTTGTTGGGCCGGGCGGTGGTAGCGCACAGCTTTAGTCCCAGCACTCGGAAGACAGAGCCAGGTGGATCTCCAAAACTACAGAGAAACCCTGTCTCGAAAAAACAACAAAAGGAGAAAAAAAAGGAGTTGGGCCACAGTCATGTCACAGGACCAAAAAATGGACAATGATGTGTGTCAAAGCATTCTTAGCTAGACTGTACAGTAGCGTGCCCACCTACAATTGAAAAAAATGGAAGGCAGAACAGAGGACTGCAAGTTCTGGGCTAACCTGGTCTACATGGTAAGACTGTCTCAAAAAAACAAGCAAAGGCAAAAAGAAAAAAAAAAGAAAAAGAAAAAGAAAAAAGAGAGACCCACTTTCTTTAGTTGCTGTGCTGGGAGGACATAAAGTGGGCCTAACGGAGGCTACTGCACTTGGCCAGTATACCATGAGAAGTGGGTACAAGCAGGGTTAGCAGCAAGAGAGGCGGACAGACAGACAGATGAACAGATTCCAACAGGCAGAAGCCCCAGTTCCAGTCACAGCTCTCCGGCTTCTGAAGCGCTCGAGCTCTTGTAACCCACCTGCACAAGCCCCTAAATTACCTTCTGTGTTCAAGGCAGCTGAGTTGGGGTTCTGTCATTTAATCCTAATCACATTTTAGATGAACTAAAGGTTCTGAGGTGAAAGTAGGAAATCAAACAGAACAAGGAGTGGCACTAAGTTTGGTTGGAAGGTCAAATTGTTAGCCAGCCACTAAAAGGGAAAAAGAAGCTAAAAAAAAAAAAAAAAAAAAAAAAAAAAGTCAGTGGTGGTGGCGCATGCCTTTAATCCCAGCACTTGGAAGGCAGAGGCAAGTGATCCTCTGAGTTTAAGGCCAGCTTGGTCTACATAGCAAGTTCCAGGACAGCCAGGACTACACAGAGAAACCCTGTTTTGAAACCCCCTTCCTCCCCGCCAAGAAAGAAAGAAAAAAGAAAAATAAGTTAGCTCCCTATAGCAAAAAAGAAAGAAAGAAAATTGGACCTCGGAGTAATTTCTCAAGCATCTGAAGGATGAAAAGGTGACAGAGAGGAGAGAAGAGCGATGAATGGCGAGCAGAAAAGCTGGGACCAGGAGAGACCAGGAGGTAGAGGCCGGTTGCCTAGCACACACAACACCCTGGGTTTGATCCCCAGAACCACATAAAATAGGTAAAGCAGCATATGCATGCAATACCAGTATTCGGGAGGTGGGAGAGGGGGTCAGAGCTCCTTGAATCCTTGGCTACATTTTAAGTTCAAGGCAACAAGACTGTGGAGTGAAGAGCACGTCGAGGAAGCAAGAGCAGCATGGTTGAAAATGGGGCTAGCAAAGCCAACGCTACTGACTGAGACCCTCTCTGAAAAAGAAGAAGAGGGAATGGCAAGATGGCTCAGAGGGTAGAAGCTACTGGAACCACGCCTGAGAACGTGGGTTCAATCTCCAGAACCCACACGGTAGGAAAGAACCAACTCTGGCAAGCTGGCCTCTGACACGCACATACACACAGTGGCACGCACTTACTCACTAGCTCTGGAATGTGCACATGAATAACATGTATATAGTGTAAAGATCAAGAAAGGATAGGGCTGGCAGATTAGGTCAGTGGCAGAGCTTTTGCCTCACCTGTGGAAGACCCTGGGATTGATCCCCAGCACTGAGGGGAGAAAAGACAGGAAAATTAATAACACTTATTTATACAGGTATAAGATTGCTAAGTGCCTACAATGTGTCAGTGGAGCTTGGGAAATGTTCTGAAGAATTACCTCAGACAGGGTCAAAGGATAAAGAAGAGTCCTCTTGTTATGAAACAAGCCTGGGGGCAGAAGTGCGATGAGTGTTGTAGGAAAGATTTTTTCCCCCTTTTAGAGGCAGGGTCTCATGCAGCTGGCCTTGTATTCTTTAACCCTCTTGCCTTCACTGCCCATGTGCCAGGATTACAGGTGTGTGGCACACATCTGCTAAGAAAGATGCCTTCTTGTCCATTTTTCCAAGTGCCACAGAAGATACTGCCTAGAAGTCATTTTCACATATGCATACCAAGCTTGCAAATGGAAGTCTGCTCTGCTCTGTCAGCTGCTCTATTTATTTATTTATTTACTTATTTATGGTTATTTTCGAGACAGGGTTTCTCCATGTAACTTTGGAGCCTGTCCTGGAACACATTCTGTAGACCAGGCTGGCCTCGAACTCACAGAGATTCGCTTGCCTCTGCCTTCCGAGTGCTGGGATTAAAGGCATACGCTACCACCACACAGCTTACTCCTCTTTCTTTAAAAAAAAAAAATAAAATCTTTTATTATTTTTTATGTCTCTGACTGTTTCGCCTGAATGTATGCATGTGTGATATATCATTCCTAGTGCCCTTGGAGTTCAAAGGAGAGGGTCAGATCCCCTGGAACTGGAATTACAGACCACTGTCAGCTACCATGTGGGTGTTGAATGCTCAATGCCGAGCCTCTGGAAGAGCTGCCAGTGCTCTTAACTGCTGAGCCATCTCTCTGACACAGGGTATGGAGATATAGTCCTGGCTGGCCTGGAACTCACTTTGTGTCCTAGGCAGGCTTTGAACCTGTGACCATCTTCTTGCCTCTGCTACTCCTCACATGCTGGGACTACAGGTATGCAATAACACACACACACACACACACACACACACTGCTTTTTGAGACAGGGCCATACAACTCAGACTGTCTTGGATTTTGCAGCAATCAGACTTCTAAGGGCTGAGTTTACAGGTGAAGGTCACCATATCTAGCCTCTAATACATGTGTATCATACATATACACACATACATATTTCTTTTGAGTGTGTTTGTGTATTTACATGTGTGTAGAAGCCAGAGATCTACATCAGGTATCTTCCTTAATTGCTTTCCACTTATTTTTTAAAATTTTATGTGTATGGGTGCTTTGCCTGCATGCACACGTGTTGTCCTTGGAGGTCAGATGAGGGCATTCGATCCTCTGGAACTGGAGTTACAGACAGTTGTGAGCTGTCATGTGAGTGATGGGAATTCAACCTGTGTTCTCTGGAAGAGCAACCAGTGCTCTTAACTGCTGAGCCATGTATCCAGTCCCCTCTACTTTATTTTTTTTAGAATTTTTTTTGGTGGGGGCAGGGTCTTTCTATGTAGCCCTGAGTGTCCTGGAACTCACCAGGTAGACCAGCTTGGCCACAAAACCACAGGGATGCATCTGTATCTGCTTCCCGAGTGCTGGGATTATGGTCCATTGACCACCACACCCAGCCTTACTTTATTTTTCTGAGACAGAGTCGCTCACCAAATTTGGAGCTTATCAATTCAGCTAGACTGTCTGGCCAGTGAACTCCAGGGATCCTATGTACTCTATGTACCCCATCTCCACAAGCACTGCAGGTACAGACATATGCCACCACACCTGGCTTTTTATATGGCTTATGGGGATCCAAACTCAGGTCCTCATGGTGCATAGCAAGGACTTCATCCACTGAGCCATCTCCCCGGGTCCTCTGCTATCTTTTATAGTGACCTAAGAAGCAGGTAGTATCAGCAGCATTGTACTTGAGGAATCCCATGTCAGGAAAATTTGGTCAGGATTGCACAACTATCACATGGCAGTGCTGGAACTACACCTGGGTCCCTAGACTGCAAAGTGCTCTACTTACTGCTACTCTAGAAACGCTAGAAAAAGAACTCACCAAAGCCAGGTGCAGAGACCATGCCCATCGTCTCAGCAGCTGGGAGGCTGTGGCAGGGCTACTGCAAGGTGGAGGAGGCCAGGTTGGACTATAATAGCAAGATTCTCAAAAAAGAAAAGAATGCTGGATAGTGGTGGTGCACACCTTTAATCCCAACACTCGGGAGGCAGAGGCAGGTGGATGTCTGTGAGTTCAAGGCCAGCCTGGGCTACAGAGTGAGTTCCAGAACAGCCAGTACTACAGAGAAACCCTGTCTCAAAAAAACAAACAAACAAACAAACAAACAAACAAACAAACAAAGCAGCTGGATGCAGTGGGTCATGTCTGCAATCCCAGCAGTTGGGATGTGGGTTCTCTGGCAAAAGAGTTGTCTCAAATTTAAGGACACTAGGCTAGCTATATGATAAGTTCCAAGCCAGCTACGGTAGTGAAGTGAGACCTGTCTCCTCCTTCACCCCAAAACCCCCACAGGTACTTTCCACATAACCAGGTAACAGACAAGGCATACACGACACCGAGTCCTTTCTGCACACGTGGAGAGATAGAGAGAGCTGGCTTCTGAGGAAGGGGTGTGGGCCTAGGACACACCTTTGTCATTAGTCGGATTACTAGTGTGCTGCTCCATCTCAACAGCAACAGGTATCGTGCCTGGGAAAAGAATCATAGCATCACATGGTCAGACAAGAGTGTTGTTTCCTAAGCTCGACACAGCAGATTCAAATTGGCTACAGCTGCTCTAATTTTGGGAGGCAGAAGTATAATAGTGTATACCATCTTGGGGCTGGAGAGATGGCTTAGAGGTTAAGAGTGTTGGCTATTCTTCCAGAGGTCCTGAGTTCAATTCCCAGCAACTACATGGTGCCCTCTTCTGGTGTGTAAGCATTCATGCAGGCAGAACACTGTATACATAATAAAATAAATCTTAAAAATATAGTATACACTGTCTCAGTTAATACAGGTGGCTGATTTTTAAAAAATTTATCTTTAGTTACATGTATGTGTGGATGTGCATATGTGAGCTGGAGTTACAGGTGGCTGTGAGCAGCCAGACATCAGTGCTGAGAACTGAACTGAGGTTCTCTGCAAGAGCAGTATACCCTCTTAACCACTCCTGGATATATGTAGTCCAGGCTAACTGAAGCCATCAATATCGCAGTGGTCCTGACTCAGCCTCAGGAGTTCACTACAGGAGTGTGCTACCACACCAGGCAAATAATTGTGCTTAACTTGATCATTTTTTCACAGTTCCCTTCAGCGGACTAATTTGTGTTATTGTTTTTCATTGAAGAAGACAGAACATACCAAATCCAAACTTTCAATCTATCGCAAACACATCATGAATCTTCATGTCTTCTAAGTGCTTAACTTCTAGAGTCTTCCCCCCACCCACCCACCCCACGTGGGGTGCTCTGGCAAGAGGGTTGTCTCCAATTTGAGGCCAACCCGGGCTCCATGGGGAGTTCCAGGCCAACCATGGGACTCTAGCTCCCACCCCTTTGTCTCTAACGAGTTAGAAGATGGGTGCTCAGGGTGAGTGGTGAAAAAAAAGGCTCAAAACACTACAAGAAACGCTCGCGAAAAGATAGGTTATTTGGGGGAAATGTAAGCGATCCTCCTTCATTCCACTTTTGGTTTTTTTGTTTTGTTTTGTCTCTTGTTTTTTTTTCTTTTTTTTTTCCTGTTTTTATTTTTTAATTTTATTTATTTTTACTTTATGTTTATTGGTGTTTTGCCATGGGCATCAGGTCCCCTGGAACTGGAGTTACAGACAGTTGTGAGCTGCCATGTGGGTGCTGGGAATTGAACCCAGGTCCTCTAGAAGAGCAGTCTGTGCTCTTAACCACTGAGCCATGTCTCCAGTCCCTTTTTCCTGTTTTTTTGAGACAGGGTTTCTCTGTGTAGACCTAGCTGGCCTCAAACTCACAAAGATCTGCCTGCCTCTGCCTCCCGAGTGCTGGGGTTAAAGGCGTGCACCACCTCTGCCCGGCCCTTCATTCCGTCTTAATGCCTAAAATGAAAGGTATTTTTCTAAGAAGTTAAAAAAAAAAAAAAATTAGGACTGGCGAGATAACTCAACAGCTAAGAGCACTAGCTGGCGCTGAAGAGGACTCGGGTTCAGTTACCAGCACCCACATGGCAGTTCACAACCATCCTAAACTCTAGTTCCAGGGGATCGGACTCTCTCTTCTTACCTCCTCGTGGACCAGGCACGCATATGTGCACATATATACGTGTTAGTAAAACAATCATACGCAAAAAAAATAAAAAATGAGTACATGTAAAAAACAGGATTTTTCTTTTCTAAGAAAAACAGCGAGTCTAGAGGAGGTAAACTACAACTCCCAGAGTGCTCGGGGGCCGAAAGGGCCGTTGCCGCCCCGCCCTGTAAGACAACAACTTCCGCTACCTCAACCCTTCCCCGCCTCAGCCCTTCCGGCCACGGCCGCTATCCCCGAACCTCTATTCCTCCCGGGTGCTAAAGCTGGAATGAAAAGTGGAAAACTGTCATGCCTTTCTTGACCTTCACGGTCGGACCAGAACGGATGAACAAAATAAGTTTCATGACCTCACCTGCAGCACTAATCCAAAGCCTCCACCCCAGCGCCCACCCTGTAGTTGGTACGCATGCGCTGTAGAGAGCGAGCGCTTCCTCCTCCTCCACCACCACCACCCCCTCCCCGCTCCCGCCCCTTGCCTAGGCGCTTGCGCAGACATTCTGTCCGCACGCGGCCGGGAGCGGCCACACTAGTGCGCAGGCGCTTGCGTCTCCCAGGCCCCCTCATCGTGCCCTCTCCATCTAACTTGCCTTACCTTTCTTGCGTAGAGGGCGGGGCTAATACTGTCGATTGGTCGATGTTCGTGCCAATCCATGAGATGGGCTTGGTGATTGGCGGCACTTCAGAGGGTAGCAGGTTTCTGTGTCAGTCCTGAGGAGGTAGCGTTTTCTTCGCTGCTCCTCTCTCCAGAAGGTTCTGCCGGTTCCCCCAGCTCTGGGTACTGGGCTCTGCATCGTGCCGCCATGATGGGCCACCGTCCCGTGCTCGTGCTCAGTGAGTTCAGGGAGGCGGTGGTTCCCTCCGCCCCTCTCTCCCCACGCTGGCCAGTGTTGCCCGGCTCCGTCCCGCCATGACTCGGTCCCCTCGTACCTTCCCATCGCCTTTTCGTTTTGGAAGCGCCTTCTCTGGTTTTTTTCTCTCCTCCCATCTCCCGTCGCCCTCCTCCGACAAAATGACTTCCCGCTCTCGGGAGTCGCTCGTGCTCTACATGTGCTCCATCCCACTCGTGTTCCGCGCTTTGGCCGCCACCCTCCACGCCCCCGTGTCCTTCCCAGCGTGATTTCTGGCGTGTAGTTAGTGGATAATGACTCTTCACGTCAGGCCTGGCTTCGTATCCTGCACGGGTCCACCCCTTAGCGGCGTGGCCGGGGGCAAATCGCTTCATTTATGCTTTAGCATCAGTATTGGGAGGCTGTAGTAGTTTTTTCAAGAATTGTGAGTTAAGTTGGTGAAGTAAGGCTGCCTTTGCTGGCAGATCGCGAGTAGCATCTTGTCGGTAGCGGTCATCCAGCGACCCTTGTTCTGAAATGACACTCCTTGCCTCAACCAGTTAAGTTCCTCGGGATGCCTCCCCTGGTTTTCTTTCCCATTTAGGGAAGGCCGTCCATCTCTTGAGTAAAGAGCACCAGTTCCTTGTCTGTTAACGGAGCTATTAAGGAGAACTCAGTAAGCCAGGTTCGGCCAGATAGACATAGTAAATAGAGAAACAAAAAGATGATTATTCGGTATGGTCACAGAGGGGTTCGGTGGCACCACCACCCCCAGACACACACACAGACAAGTCCATGGGGTTTAGCCTCAAGTAGCAGGCCAGAGGCATAAGGAGTCCATCGTTGTCTGCTCTAGTCTCCTTCGAGACAAGTTTCCTGTCTGGCTCCCAGGCTTTAGTCTTGTTCTTATTCTAGCTTGAGATTCCTTGGGAATTCAATTTTCTTTGGTTACATTGTGTTTGGTAGGTTTGTTTTTTCTGTTTTTATGTGTATGGGTGTTTTGTTGCCTGAATGTATGTCTGTGTACCGCATATGTGACTCAGGCCTGTGGAGGCCAGAAGAGAGCGTCACATCCCCTGGAAGTGAAGTTCCAGGCCCTTGTGAGCCACCATGGGGGGCTGGGAATCTAACCTGGATCCTGGCAGAGAAGCCAGTTTTCTTAAACACTGAACCATCTTCCCAGCCTCACAATCAGGCTTTCTTGGCCACTAATCTTTGAGACGCTGTGGCTCCTCTTCCCAGGGGATTGTGAGGGGTATGCACTTGCCTCATTTTTCTCACCTACTATTGAGAAAAATCATCATCCTACTGAGGCCCATTCAGGGAACTTAGGACATGAATCCCTGCTGGAAATCGGTGAGCCTACAAGAAAAGTATTGATCAAGATTCTGAAGTTGAAGTATTTCAGGCTATCTCTTAGTGTACCAGGGGCTAAAACAGAGAAGTCAAGAGCTGAGTTTTGGGGATTTTTGTTTTGCTTTTTAATTGTCTTCATTTCATGTACATTTCATCTGCATGTGTGTCTGTGTGCCTGCAGACACCGGAAGATGGCATCAGATCCCCTGGAACCGTAGTTGGTTGTGAGCTGTCGTGTTAGTGCTGGAAATTGAACCAGGGTCCTCTGCAAGAGCCTCCATGCCTTTAACTACTGAGCCATCTTTCCGGCCTCTAAACATGTTTTTTGAGACAGGGTCTCACTTTGTAGCTCTGGCTGGCCTGGAACTCACTTCATAGACCAGGCTGGCCTTGAATTCACAGAAATCCATCTGTCTTTACAGTGCTGAGATTAAAGGCATGCGCTACTATGCCTAGCCCTAAACAGTTTCCTGAGGTATAATTGACAACTGGTTATCAAACAAGGAAGCCTTTGTATTTATTTTCAAAAGTTGTTAAATAGGATTGGTGGGATGGCTCAGTGGTAAAAAGGCACTTATCATCAAACCTAATAACCGGAGGTCTGTTTTGTTGTTGTTTGTTTGTTTGTTTTGTTTGAGATAAGTTCTCTCTATGGAGATCAAACAGGCCTCCAGCTCAGAGAGATTCTCCTGACTCTGCCCCCTAAGTGCTGAAATTAAAGGCATGCTTCCCACACCTAGCTTTGATAACCAAGTTTAACCCTGGCATACATGTGGTAGAAAGAGAAGTAACTCCGAAAGTTGTTTTCTGATCTCCACACTGTGCCAAGCATATGTGCACCTGACATACACATACATATACAGATTTTAAAAATATAAATGTTTTCTTTTAATTGGGAAATAAATTGCTTGTGTATACTGGGCTGTTGACATGTGTTTCTGTCTGTTCTAGGTCAGAATACAAAGCGTGAGTCTGGAAGAAAAGTTCAGTCCGGGAATATCAATGCTGCTAAGGTAGCACATGTTTTAAGTGTTTATAGAAGTTTGCTCTGGCTGACTCCCTAATTTTGCATTTGTGGATGGAAGCTTCTTATGGATCTGTGCTTCAGAGTATTCAGTTAAACAAAGGGAAAAAAAATACCTTAACAGTGGTATGAAGAGGGAGGTTTGTTTTGCCTGCAAGCATGTCTGTGTGTGTACCATGTGCATTCCTGGTGCACAAGAAGGCTAGAAGAGGTGGTCAGGTCCCCTGAAACTGGAGTTACCATGGGAGTGCTGGAACTTGGATCTGGGTCCTCTGGAAGAGCAACTGGTGCTCTTAACTACTGTGTCATCTCTCCAGGCCCGCTGCCCCTACCCCTTTGGAGACAGGATTTTGTCTGGCTGGCCTAGAACTCACTATGTAGACCATTCTTACCTTGAACTCACAGAGATCTGCTTGCCTCTGTCTCCCACAAGTAAATATCTTTTGAGTGAGTGATACAAGACTTGATTTCAGGTGGCCTAAAGGCCACTGTCAGTGAAAATATTAAGGCTGGACTCTTAGGACATTAAAACTGTAGTAGGCTGTGCGTGTATTCGTGCGTGCGTAAAGTCATTTATTGCTGTGTGTAAAGTAGTTACCATCCTAAGTGTCACTGTTAAAACACTGATTCTGACTGGAGAGTTGGCTCAGCAGTTAAGAGCATTTACTCTTATAGAAGAAAAATTAGGTTCTGCTAACCCAGATGGTAGCTCACAACCTCCTGTAACTCTAGTTTCAGGGGATCCAACGTGCTCTTCAGGCCTCTGTGACCATGAGGCATGCATTCGGTACACAAACATACATGTATGCAGGCAAAACACTCATACCTATTAAAATGAATGTTTAAAACACTGGCTCTGAACTGGGCATGGTGGAGTATGCCTTTAATCCCACCACTTGAGAAGCAGAAGCATCTCTGAGTTCAAGGTCAGCCAGGACTACTAGTGAGACCCTGTTGAAAACAGACTGTTCTCCAAAACACATTGTTTTCTGATTATACTTCTTGTTTTGTGTTTCCTTACCAACAGACAATTGCAGACATCATCCGGACATGTTTGGGACCTAAATCTATGATGAAGGTTGGACTATCTTTTGTTGGAACTCTGACTCCAGGTCGTTCTTTTTTGTTATCTATAACACTTCTGCTTTTTCTTAGATGCTTTTGGACCCAATGGGAGGCATCGTGATGACCAATGATGGCAATGCCATTCTTCGAGAGGTGTGTGTGGTTTTGTTTTTTTTCTCACCTTTTCTAACAGTTTCAGCATGTGCTGTTATAATTCTTGTGTGTCCCATATGTGTTAAAAGAATGATGGGACTCACCTTAAACCAGTGTGACATTGTTTTAATTTGATTACTTATACAAAGACCTACTTCCAAGTAAAGCTGTTCTGTCCTCAAGAAGTTTTAATGGTTGAGTTCTCAGTGACACTTTTTCCCACAAAAGGAGGACTTGGAAAGTGATCTGCTTAAGATATTGGAGGGGCAGGCACTGTGTGTGTGTCTGTGTGCCTGCCCATGGACCAAAAGAGAATATAGAATCTTGTAGAACAGTGGATCTCAGCCTTCCTAGTGCTGTGACCCTTTAATACAGTTCTTCATATTGTGGTGACCCCCAACCATAAAATATTTTTCATAATTTTGCTACTTCATAACTAATTTTACCACTGTTATGAGTCATAATGTGGATATTTGATATGCAACCCTGTGAAAGGGGATGGGACTCAGGTTGAAAACTGCTGTTCTAGAGGTAGTTTCAGGTGGTTGTGAGCCCTTTGACACTGGTGCTAGGAACTGAACTTGGGTGGGTCCTCTGGAAGAGCAGTGAGCACTTTTAACCACTGAGACAACTCTCTAGCCCCTGGAGTTTTTATTTTTTGAGACAGCGTCTCAACTATGTAGCCTTGGCTGGCCTGGGGCTTGCTATGTATGGGTGGCCTTGAACTAGATTTTAGAGAGATCCACTAGCCTTTGCCTGTCACTTCTGGGATTAAAAACATGAGCTAACACACCTGGCCTGGGGCTGTTTTTAATTTTAAAGATACAGTAAAACGAAGGAGGAAGGCAGTCTGTATGGAAATAGAATTCAAGAGGTAGGGCCAAACTGAGAAGTCTTTGAGAGCTGGGAAGATGGTTCAGCTTGCTGCCAAGCCTGACGACCTGAGTTCAGTCCCCGGCATCCACATGGTAGAAAGAGACAGCCAGTTACCACAAGCTGTCCTCTGGTCTCTACGGGTACAAAAATAAATAAGTCTTTGGGGCTGTGTTGTTGTTGTTGTTTTAGTCGTTGAGTAGTCTTGGTTCATTTTTCTTTCAGATTCAAGTCCAGCACCCAGCAGCCAAGTCCATGATTGAAATTAGCAGGACCCAGGATGAAGAGGTTGGAGATGGGACCACATCAGTAATTATCCTTGGTAAGAGGAAGGTGGGAGGTTGAAATAAAGTGTGTTGTGTGTAGAGGGGGTGGGTGATTCAGCAGTTAAGAGCACTTGGCTGCTCT